TGTAATTGATTCGCATCTCCCATACCATTCACCGAAAGATAAAATTAATCACGTACCCATATATTTCCTCAAAGACCTTTCAATCTCTTTTGATTTGGGAAACGAAAGAGGATTTAAGAAATGGGTTCTCCGAGATCATCATCTTTCATTGTGTGTTATATACTCTTTTCATGTTTTCTTATTCTAAATCTTCCAAACAAAATACAAGCCAGAAAGCTATCACCATTACTAACAAAGTCACCAGTTAAAATACTCAAAGAAAATTACGAGAAGAGTAGCATTATTGACCAAGCACAAGCCTACATAAGCATTGTCCATGTGTTGGCTGTCGATGATCTTAATGTTGATTCTAATGTGCATGAGATCCACACTTGGGAGCATGATTTTTACGCCATTGGAAATGCAGCGATGTTGGGGTCCTTTGGTTCTATGTATATGTAGATTTTATATCCATTGTCTGAATTGCATCTTATTTAAATTTTATATTATTATGTTATATGTATTTGGAAAAGCATTATTTGGAATATAAGGAATTTCCAGTCTACATATAAAGGACGAGTTTACAAGTACTCTATTGCTTTCAAATAGTAATTGCACTCAAATATATAGAAGAAATATTTAAATACATAAAATTCTATATTCCATCCTCCTAATTACATTTGAAAATATGATTTCATTGTATGGTAAAGTTGTGAATATTCATGTAGGATATTGATTTTTTTTACATTCTTAGTCTATAGTTTGATAATTAATTGCATTACTTTGCATTTCTTTTTTTCACATGCTATTTAAGGGGTATGTAGAGAAGCAAAATTCCACCATGAGATGCAAACTTAAAACTTCATCATCATCTCCAGACAGAGCATTATTGATTTATTCGAAGGAAGAGTACATCTATAAATTACTATTACTTTTCAGAATTACCATGAAGTCATCATACTTTCTTGCATATTGTAGGTGATTGGTTTTCCAAAATGTTTCATATCGGTTTGGCACCGGATAATCACTTAACTTAAACCTATTGTTCATTCGGCTTGATGTTCGGTCAAATTCTCTACTTTGGAATTTCAATCATACTTTTCTTGCTTTGCTTCCTAAAATCAATTTAATAGTGAATATGAGATATCTAAGAACAATTAGATGTGAAATGGCATTTTTTGTATCCATGATGTCAAATTTGATAGTGAGTCATATCATCCACTCATTTTTAAATATTAATGGATTGGAAGCTCGAAATATCTTTTCAACAATCCTGTGGCTTACAGAAAGGTGAACAACTGATACCTTTGTTATTCGTGCTATGAGAAGAAGGTTTCACATCATTATTGGAGGGGAACTTGCATATTGTCATCTACACATGATCAATTTTGGACGGCAATGTTTGAATATGTCTCGCTTATACTTCTTGGATGCGTCATATCAATTTGTGAGATATTCAACAATGGCCTTTTTTTGTTGGCATATTTACAGGAGTACAAGATAGTGATTGAAAAAAATATTCATTGAATCATTTTTTGGTGCTACATTAAAATGTCCCAAAAGCATTATCCAATATTTCTCACTTAACCTTCGCGAATGGCTCATATAATTTTGTGAGAGGTTCAAGAATGTGATTTCTTATGGCCACAATGTTTGAAGTAGGGGTGACTCAGACAATGGTTAGATGAGTTGACTTGATGTCCATGGCTTAGAGATCAAAGTGGGAAACATTCAAATTCCTCGAGGAAAAGCTACTACAATGGATGTAAGGTAGAAACGTAAGTGTCTTTTATTGTTAAAAAAAAATCATTAGTTAAGTATGTTGGTTTGGCTCTTCTATTGCATGTGATGTTGTGATATCGATTATTGATCAATTTATGTCACTCACCAAAGCTAGTTTCATTTAGATGCATACTACATGATACTAGCATTCGGACCAACCTATCTCCAAGCCAAAATACAGATACTCACTAGATTTAATTGTGTCTACCTATTCGAAATTTTATGTTTAAAAATAGCATAAAATCAAATACTAGCACCAAAGAATAGCCCTAACAATTGAGGAACAAACACAAAAGTTATTCCTGCATTTTTTGTTTTGACAATTTTGTTTTATAAATTTGCCAATATGTAACCACTATAAATAGAAACTATTCAAACTTTGATCACATGACCATCATATTTAGTTTTTTAATATGGTGAGAATGTTCTTGTGTTTGTTTAATATGGTTGCACGTGTATGGTTTGAAGTCTCATTATTGCATATCAAGTTCAACAAAGTACCAATTCATGCTCAGTAAATAGTTTTCTAGTTCTCTACAGGGCAAATATTTTCTGTTATTTTCATTACATATAGTTTGCGTCTTATACATGTGTTAACAAATTGATCATAATCAAGCAAACTATGAGAAGCAATACCAACCTGGTAACTATAGTAACAATTACGCGAAAGATACAAATACCTTGATTGTAATTGATTCGCATCTCCCATACTATTCACCGAAAGACAAAATTAATCACGTACTCATATATTTCCTCAAAGACCTTTCAATCTCTTTTGATTTGGGAAACGAAAGAGGATTTAAGATATGGGTTCTCCGAGATCATCATCTTTCATTGTGTGTTATATACTCTTTTCATGTTTTCTTATTCTAAATCTTCCAAACAAAATACAAGCCAGTCTACATATAAAGGACGAGTTTACAAGCACTCTATTGCTTTCAAATAGTAATTGCACTCAAATATATAGAAGAAATATTTAATTACATAAAATTCTATATTCCATCCTCCTAATTACATTTGAAAATATGACTTCATTGTATGGTAAAGTTGTGTGTATTCATGGAGGATATTGATTTTTTTAACATTCTTAGTCTATAGTTTGATAATTAATTGCATTACTTTGCATTTCTTTTTTTCTTTCGAAAAAGAGTTAGTTTTTTAAGTTATTCGATTGTCGCTGCTTATGCAAGAATTATTGACATTCATTCTTGGAAAACTCAATAAAAAAGAGGAAAGAATTGATTGTTCTGCCAAAATTATGGAGAATTACTACTTCTTGAGAAACCACTAGTGATGAGTGTTGTATTTCCTGTAGACAAATTAAAAAGTATTTTTTAACATGCTATTTAAGGGATATGTAGAGAAGCAAAAGTCAACCATGAGATGCAAACTTAATACTTCTTCATAATCTCCAGACATAGCATTATTGATTTATTCGAAGGAAGAGTACATGTATAAATTACTATTAATTTTCAGAATTACCAAGATGTCATCATATTTTCTTGCATATTGTAGGTGATTGGTTTTCCAAAATGTTTCATATCGGTTTGGCACCGGTTAATCACTTAACTTAAACCTATTGTTCATTCGGCTTGATGTTCGGTCAAATTCTCTACTTTGGAATTTCAATCATACTTTTCTTGCTTTGCTTCCTAAAATCAATTTAATAGTGAATATGAGATATCTAAGAACAATTAGATGTGAAATGATATTTTTTGTATCCATGATTTCAAATTTGATAGTGTGTCATATCATCCACTCATTTTTTAATATTAATGGATTGGAAGCTCGAAAGATCTTTTCAACAATCTTGTGGCTTACAGGAAGGTGAACAACTGATACCTTTGTTATTCGTGCTATGAGAAGAAGGTTTCACATCATTATTGGAGGGGAACTTGCATAGTGTCATCTATACATGATCAATTTTGGACGGCAATGTTTGAATATGTCTCGCTTATACTTCACGGAGGCCTCATATCAATTTGTGAGATATTCAACAATGTGCTTTTTTGTTGGCATATTTACAGGAGTACAAGATAGTGATTGAAAAAAAATTCATTGAATCATTTTTTGGTGCTATATTAAAATGTCCCAAAAGCATTATCGAATATTTCTCCCTTAACCTTCGCGAATGGCTCATATAATTTTGTGAGAAGTTCAAGAATGTGATTTCTTATGGCCACAATGTTTGAAGTAGGGGTGACTCTGTAAATGGTTAGATGAGTTGACTTGATGTCCATGGCTGAGAGATCAAAGTGAGAAACATTCAAATTCCTCGAGGAAAAGCTACTACAATGGATGTAAGGTAGAAAAGTAAGTGTCTTTTATTGTTAAAAAAATCATTAATTAAGTATGTTGGTTTGGCTCTTCTATTGCATGTGATGTTGTGATATCGATTATTGATCAATTTATGTCACTCATCAAAGCTAGTTTCATTTAGATGCATACTACATGATACTAGCATCCGGACCAACCTATCTCCAAGCCAAAATACAAATACTCACTAGAATTAATTGTGTCTACCTATTTGAAATTGTATGTTTAAACATAGTATAAAATCAAATACTAGCACCAAAGAATAGCAATAACAGTTGAGGAACAAACACAAAAGTTATTCCTGCATTTTTGGTTTTGACAATTTTGCTTTATAAATTTGCCAATATGTAACCACTATAAATAGAAACTATTCAAACTTTGATCACATGACCATCATATTTAGTTTTTTAATATGGTGAGAATGTTCTTGTGTTTGTTTAATATGGTTGCACGTGTATGGTTTGAAGTCTCATTATTGCATATCAAGTTCAACAAAGTACCAATTCATGCTCAGTAATTAGTTTTCTAGTTCTCTACAGGGCAAATATTTTCAGATATTTTCATTACATATAGTTTGCATCTTATACCTGTGTTAACAAATTGATCATAATCAAGCAAACTTTGAGAAGCAATACCAACCTGGTAACTACAGTAACAATTAAGCGAAAGATACAAATACCTTGATTGTAATTGATTCGCATCTCCCATACCATTCACCGAAAGATACAATTAATCACGTACCCATATATTTCCTCAAAGACCTTTCAATCTCTTTTGATTTGGGAAACGAAAGAGGATTTAAGAAATGGGTTCTCCGAGATCATCATCTTTCATTGTGTGTTATATACTATTTTCATGTTTTCTTATTCTAAATCTGCCATACAAAATACAAGTCAGAAAGCTATCACCATTGCTAACAAAGCCACCAGTTAAAATACTCAAAGAAAATTACGAGAAGAGTAGCATTATTGACCAAGCACAAGCCTACAGAAGCATAGTCCATGTGTTGGCTGATGATGACCTTAATGTTGATTCTATTGTGCATGAGATCCACACTTGGGAGCATGATTTTTACGCCATTGGAAATGCGGCGGTGTTGGGGTCCTTTGGTTCTATGTATATGTAGATTTTATATCCATTGTCTGAATTGCATCTTATTTAAATTTTATATTATTATGTTATATGTATTTGGAAAAGCATTATTTAGTTCGATGCATTTGCATTAGAAGTTGTATAACAAAATGATAATATAAAGAATATGCAGTCTACATATAAAGGACGAGTTTACAAGCACTCTATTGCGTTCAAATATTAATTGTACTCAAATTTATAGAAGAAATATTTAATTAAATAAATTCTATATTCCATCCTCCTAATTACATTTGTAAATATGACTTTATTGTATGGTAAAGTTGTGAATATTTATGGAGGAAATTGATTTTTTTACATTCTTTTTTTTTCGTTGAATCGGTTTTCTCTTTCTTATTAAAGCCAAAAAACAGATATAATGAAAGTGGGCCTAGCCCAAGCAAGAACAGGAGAACATCACTCTCCTATTCTCAAAAACAAACAACCTGAAAAAACAAATGACAGAGAACTTTACTCTCGCAACCATCTACATCTCAAATCAACCCTAATGCCTGCAAATCACTTGTCATGGAAATATTCGACGCACTCAGGAATCTTAAATCCTGTAAAATAGCATTTCCCACCACCACTGCACTACGAGGAGTATCCCCATCAAATCACTTACTCCTTTCTTTCCAAATGCTAGAAACACAGAAGCACTAGAGACAGCCCATCATTCTCCCTGTTGCTGTCTTCTGTGATCTAAGCTGACAAGCAGCTGAAATTGTGTCTTGCCATGTCCCTCGACACCACTATGTGCAGCGAAGGATCCTTAGCAGTTCATGCAAATAAGCACAGTGGAAAAACAAATGGCCTCTTGATTCAGGATTAGCGTTGCATAGAACACAAGTTCCATCAACCAATCTACCCCATTTCAGGAGTTTGTCCCTCGTTACTATATTGTCCTGCAAAACCAACCAAGTTAAAAAACTAGGTCCAGGGATATATCCCTTCCCTCAAACTAGTTTATCCCACGATACCACAGGTCACTTCTTCCTAAGAGATTCCCAAACCACTCTTATAGTAAATTTTGTCATCGGAGTACCATCCCAGCAAAGAGAGGCCCCATGCCCAGAAAATGAGAATGGACAGAAGAATGAACCTTGATTATTCGTCTCCAAGCCCACGAACTACTAGAAGATGACCTTATTGTCCAAATGCTACCAGCTTTCACCTTATACTGCATAATCCAAGCAACCCAAATAGTCCCGCTTTGCATTAGGAGTAGCCATATCTGCCTTGTTGTACAATCCTGATTCCATGTAAAGAGTTCTTTCAATCCCAAACCTCCTTCCTTCCTAGGTCGTGCTATTTTGTCCCAGCCAACTTTAGCTCTGCCCTCCTCACCTCCATGCCACAAAAAGTCAGTACAAATTTTGTGCACCCTCTTAAGTACACTCTTTGGCAGCAGAAAAACTTGCATCCAAAACTGTAAAACACACATCACCTTCCTGCATAGCTGAGCTTTTTCACTTTCTAGTTCTTAATCTTCTGAGTAATCATGTCCACCAATCGATCACATTCTGCATATGAAAGTTTACCAGAGACAAGTGGGAGCCCCAAATATCTAACTGGGAGTTTGCCCTCTTCGAAACCAGACCTCTCCAATGCATTATTTTTAAAATCCACAGAACTACCCCAAAGTACACTTCACACTTCCTAGGATTAAATTGCAATCCAGATAATTCATAAAACTCATTAAGGACACTCTGGACAGCAACAATAGCCCTAGCAGACCCTCAGAGAAAATCAACAGGTCATCAGCAAAGCTTAAGTGTGTTAGACCCACTTTTTTACACTGCAGGTGATATGGTATAAGTCTAGAAGTAGCAGCAGCATTAAGAAGCATAGACAAACCTTCCATTTCAATAGTAAAGAGGTAGGGTGACAGAGGATCCCTCTGTCTCACCCCCCCCCCCCTCTTTGCACCAAAATACCCACGCAGCCCACCATTTACACATATACTAAATCTAGCTGTTTTCACAAATAGCGAGATCCATTTACAGAAGGGTGCAGGGAATCCCATTATATCCAGCATCAGTAACAAATATTCCCAATTTACCGAATCAAAAGCCTTCAATAAATCCACTTTAATATCACAACGTGAGGATAATTGTTTTCTATGATAACCACTCACCATTTCCTAAGCCATGAGAATATTGTCCACAATTCTTCTGATACGACCCTGGGGGTGTATTTTTATCAAAGTCACGCAGCAAACAATCAATCCAAGATTGATTGAACTCGAATCAAGAACAATGCGTTCTTAATACGAAATTTGGATAAAACGTAACCAACGGACAATTCCACACCTGGGGAAAGCTCGTATGGTATAAAAGGGTAGTTGCTCGACCACGATTGAAGGGACTATTCAATCGATACAAAGCTCAGCAAGTTTGGAATCCACCAAACCCAAAACAAGTTCGCAAACTTGCAAAACCAAACGGAATCCCATCGATGCACCTTGAATTGAGCTCCAAAGTAGGCTTCACAAAACAGTTTTTTGCCTTAGCCATTTTCTGGCAGTTTTACAGTTCTAATGTAGCAACTTTGAGGCCTTGGAAAATAACCTTAATGACATCTTCTGGATCCACAAAGCATACCATTGGAAACATGACAACTTTTTCTGTAAAACAAGCCCTTGAAATGGAATTTCCACCACGCCAATTGAGAGAACCATGCCTCCAAATTATGTACCTTGAACACGGATTTTGACTTAGCCAAATTCTGCCTTTCTTCTTCCCAACTTTCATAGCTTCTTCGTCAAGTAATTTAAGCGTGTATAGTTGACCATTTGGGATCATATCGGGCCCTCCCTCTTGGAAAAGTGTTTTCCTAAACACTTTGGCCTTTCGTTGCTCAAACCATTCACAGAATTGATCCCAAATTGGATCAAAATAGGGCTGCTCAATCATCATGTTCGACAAAAAATTTTCAGCTTCAAACTCACCTCCAAGCTTCTCCAGGGATTTTGAAACTTGCAGAGCAGTTGGAAACTCTCCCTGGGCTCGAAAAACCCCTTCCTCGTCTTTCAATTTTGCCGAGATTTGATCGGAGCAATTTCCAGGTCGCCGGACTGCAGGTCGGCTCATGTTCTTGCTCGTCACAATTGGGGGTTTTCGATTAAAGAATCCACATACCAATTCAACGACTCCACATGCTTCAATAGGCCAATTGAAGTTTTGATCCCTTCTCTAGCATCAATTCATCACCAGGGTCTTCAATTTGTTAGATTTCACTCTCCCACCGTCGAGCCCTTTCAAATTTTCCATACCCAGAAATTTTTAATCCAGGCTTCTCATTCCAGGCTTCTCCGCGCCAATTTGATTGCTCCAAAAGCTTCCTGGAATGGCCCCGAACGATTCCACATCGTTCGTTTGGGTCGGATCTCGCCCTATCGTCGTAACCCATTCGGCGAATTTTCCTTCTTGCTACTGCGTTTCCAGAGGCAGAGGAGCTCGATTTTGATTTGGAAAAGTAAATGTATTCGACTCGATCCAGCCATTGGAGAAGATTCCTGGGTCTACCTTTGGCGATTCTGCGTCTTTAGTTTGCGTGGAAGCAAACCCGATCTCCCCAACCAATTTAGCGAATTTGTATTCCTGTTCGTGCATTTGCAGAGGGATTTCAGCTCGATCGAACATCTGCAAAACAGATGAAATCGTTGCAATTTGACCGAGGCATGAGCTTCTCGATATTTTAGGTGACGTTTCAGGTTCCTTGGGTATGGTCGGATTGCTCCCCAGAGTTCCACCCCATTGCCCCTCTCTCCTGCTCTGTTTCGCAGGGGAATTGGGTAGCTCCACGATGCTAGTCACAGGATCGATTCGTCCGTCGACGGCCTGCCCCGTGCCTTCTCCGCGCCTCGCCGACCTTCCCGAAATCTCCAGGGATGTTTTGGAAGCTTCAGCGTGCTCTGGGTTTCCCTTCTCGTCGATGGCCAAGCCACTGAACGCGGCACTCTGTGTTGCGGAATAATAACAGGGGATGTTCTAGGCAGTGGGTTCCGTTGCCTGAACTTCCTCACTGAGCTGGATATCTTGCTTACGTAACGGCTGCGCTCCGTTAGAAACCTCCAGCAGCTTTTCCTCCTCGTCACGGAGCTGTCGCAGCAGGGTGGCTCGATCTTCTGCAGCTTCTTCTGGCGACAGAAGCTTTAGAGCAATACGCTTCCCGCAATTCGTCAATCGGATTCTGTTGGTGCTTCTGCTATGTCGAGATTCGTGGAAAACATGCCAAGGGTGACCAAGAACCACATGAGTCATTTTCAGGGGCACCACGTCGCACCGAACAACGTCTTCGTATCTTCCGATTTTGAAAGGTAAGGTCACCTCCTCTGTCACAAAAACAAAGCTTCCTGTTCCCAGCAATGAAGTAGAGTAAGGAGCTGGATGCTTTCGAATTGGCAGCCCCAATTTCGACACTTCTCGTGAGCTAATCAGGTTTGATTTGCTCTCATCATTGATGTACATAGAGCACACCTTTTCTCCCACCAAACAGCGAGTGTATGTCGTCAAATTCGCTTGTTCCAATTCGACCACCATGGCAGCCCTGTTTCTCGATGAATTCTGCTTGTACGAAACAACACGTTTTCGCCTTCTTCTTCGCCCTTGTGTAGAACCAGGGACCACTTAATACGACCCTGGGGGAGGTGTATTTTTATCAAAGTCAACGCAGCAAACAATCAATCCGAAGATTGATTGAACTCGAATCAAGAACAACGCGTTCTTAATACGAAATTTGGATAAAACGGAACCAACGGACAATTCCACACCTGGGGAAAGCTCGTATGGTATAAAAGGGTAGTTGCTCGACCACGATTGAAGGGACTATTCAATCGATACAAAGCTCAGCAAGTTTGGAATCCACCAAACCCAAAACAAGTTCGCAAACTTGCAA